TGTACATTAGCCGAAGGTATTGTGGAAATTTGTAGTTTATCTTTAGATGCAGCCACAGTATTCTATGAGAAAGCAAGGGTTCTTCTTCATTCACTATTGAATGGACCTTAATTATCAACATGGTGTAAAGAAAATACTACCATTTAACCATACAAAACACATTGACTGCATATAGTTTATAACCCAATACACCTATATTCGTGCATTAATCCCCTTCAATACACTGGCTTTAGAGTACAAATATGTCACTTATGTGGCTATAAGTGCTGCACAAATACAATGTATATTTCTTTAGGGAATGGCACCATCGACTTCTCTGAATTCTTGACAATGATGTCTAGGAAAGTAAAAGAATCAGAGGCGGAGAGAGAACTGAGGGAAGCATTCAAAGTATTCGACAGGGATAACAATGGCTTTATAAGTGCGGAGGAATTAAGACATGTGATGCAAGGCCTAGGAGAAAAACTCACCGAGGAAGAAGTCGAGGAAATGATAAAAGAAGCTGATTCGGATGGAGACGGTCGAATCAATTATGAAGGTACACACTGCGCCTATTCACTCTATGTATGTATGTATGTATGTATGTATGTATGTATGTATGTATGTATGTATGTATGTATGTATGTATGTATGTATGTATGTATGTATGTATGTATGTATGTATGTATGTATGTATGTATGTATGTATGTATGTATGTATGTATGTATGTATGTATGTATGTATGTATGTGTGTGTATGTGTTTATGGATGGATGGATGGATGGATCGATGGATGGATGTATGAATCTATGGATATTAGCAAGCAATCACGTTTGCTTTATATTTAATGACGTGGTTTATTTCTTTTTCAGAATTTGTGAACATGATGACTGGGAAATGACAGGACAACGAATTCTTACTGTGTGCTCTCGAAACGGACGTAGAATCGCCGAAACTGCTGTATACTGTATAATTGTATGATTTAGAATGCATTGTAATATGACATTAAAATAGTACTCATAATTGCAAGACCGTATATTAATCTGTAAATGCCTTGGAACTTTTTCCAATAGAGTTGACTTAAGGGTTCGGCTCGGGCATGAAACCCAACAATACGACACGGTAGGTAAACAATCCCGAAGGGAAATGCAATAATATTTAGTATTTCAACATGTTACATGATATGACATCTTCGAAATGCAATAGTGCCAGATGGAACATACGTAATCACCGTAGCCAGACTGAGTCAAGGAGAAAAAGGTTGTGTCCGGATAGAAATCACCCGTTGTTAACCACTCGAAACTCGAGATTTTGTTATATGATGCACTAATGAAGCAGATGATATAACCTAAGTATCCATTTAGAATAAATTTTATGAAAAAAAATGGTTCATATAATTTTCTCACAGCCTCATAAAATGCCATTTTAGTAAAATATAATGAAAGAGTATGTGTATCGGAGAATAAAATGAGTAACTCTCTTCCGAAAAGAATGGAGATCAGTGTCAGGAGATTGCAAGGAAGCATATATATCCTTTGTAGTTTGTATTCTGACATTATGGCATCATCCGTGGCGTTAATGCTTTATATTTTTGCAAGTTTACATGTAACTAATGACGACATTTCGTCAAACACACCTTTTATTTAGCAATGAAAAACATACATAAAAGGAAAGTTTTAGAAAAACACGCCTTGAAGAAGTCATACAAACACAGTGTTGTGATATGTGTTTTCATGTTTTCCACAAAATAAGTGTATATTCTTTACAGGGGCATTCCTTCGGTTAGCCCGATTGATTAGGGTGACCCATGAATACTCAATCTCCTCTTCACCGTGACTTAGGCAACGATAGGGATGAGAACAATTGGACCAAACTGCAGTCATCACAAAGCAAACAAATAAATTACAGTATATTAATCTTTCATTTTCGCGTTGTAACTGAAGCATTTGTTATGTATAGAAATTGGACGGTTAAGCCTGAGAATTCCAACTATAGAGAGGTTCTGAATATGTTCGTTTTAATATAAACCTTCAAAGTAGTTTTTTGTGTTAAATAATCAGTCATGAAAATCAATCATATATTTTAGAAATTACTTATAAAATAGATTACCGCATTTTTACAAATACTATCTTCCTTCACAGTAAGATAGTACACACAGTTGTTTGGCAGGGAATTACAACTGTCAGGTTCCAACAGCATTTAAACTTCTGCATGGGATTGCATGCATAAGAACAAACAGCTTCAAATCCAATCGGTCACAGAAGTTAGCCTATAATTACATATCCTTTTTCAAACGGAAATAAAGAAGAATTTATTTAATAACACAATACCTAAGCGCAGTTTGATACATAGTTCTGAGTATTTGATTTCTCTTTGTGATCGGGTAACCAAACACTATCACAAAATCCAGATAAGTACCTTATTATTCGCTTATTCAACTTCGGGCATCGCCTAACCTGATCTGGTGTCGCATAATGCGTCAGCGTATCAGCGGTCTATTCAGTGTGTTTAACTGATTACTCGTAATAAATTGCATAGACCTAGATCAGCCGAAGCATTATAAGACGGCATACCTGGATCTGTGCTGTTTGCAGTTGGACTCAACTTATAAGCGGCTATAAACGTTATGTTTGTTGTAATCGGGTTAAGGTAATTCTGAGTTTATACCTAGTAATGGTAATTATACAATATACAAGAGTATAGATGTAATAATACAGCATGCTAGACCATTATACATTATACAAGATTTAAATGGTAATTATACAATATACAAGAGAATAGAGGTAATAATGCAGTATGCAAGACCATTATGCATTATAAAAGAACTTAAAGCTAATTATACAATATACAAGAGCTTAACAGTAATTATACAATGTGCAAGGGCTAGACGGCAATTATACAATGTACAATTTAGCTTAACAGTAATTATACAATATTCAAGAGCTTAACGGTAATTATACAATGTACCAGAGTTTAACGGTAATTTTGCGATGTACAAGAGCTTAACGGTAATTATACAATTTACAAGAGTTTAACGGTAATTATGCCATGTACAATAGCTTAACGGTAATTATGCCATGTACAATGGCTTAACGGTAATTATACAATGTACAAGAGCTTAATGGTAATTGTACAATGTACAAGAGCTTAACGGTAATTGTACAATATTAAGAGCTTAATGGTAATTATAAAAGATGCAAGAGTTTAACAGAGGAACACGTACAATCGCAAGGTGACATTTTCAAAATTTAATACCGCTGAATGAACGAGGAAATTGTTGCAGTCAATATTATTGACATAAAAATAATTATAGACGGTGTACAAAGAACAGAGACGCTTTCAGAAAGGTAGCGTTTCGTGTCGCATTTGTAGCTCTGGATTTTCAGTTCTCTCACGTGGGTTGTTTTTCGCGGTATCCAGATAAAATGGGTCAAATAATCGTGTTTTTTTATTGCTATAATTGTTCTTTTACGCTTAAGAAAAATAAAAAATGCCACATCCAAAAGAACAGACAGACATTCGTAAACATTTTCTTAAAAGTATTTCCGATGGTTTAAATCGGTGTGTTGAGTTAGAACGGATTTATTCTGAAAGCTTTTAAAACAACCTTGCACACTTCTTTCCTATCAAAAAGTTACCCGCACCCCACCCCACCTTGTCTCATGTTCCAGATACGGACTTAGAAATACTTTATTTTGTTTTTTTATATATGATAAAAATGATTTGTCAGTTGTCAATCAACAGTACTAAAAGAGACCAACTATGGAAGCCCCTGATAAAAAAAAATGTAAAGTAGACTTGTCAAAGATAACTTCTAAGTGACGATATATTTTAGATGCTTATGTCGATTGATTTCTTTCAAAACGATTAATTTATTTGTTCTCTCTATGTGCGCTCCCCCCTCCTTTAAAACTTCGTCCTTTGTAAATATTCTAATGTTTATTTAGAACTATTTACTCAGCAATCTTCACTAATTTAATATTTTTTTAAAAGGTAAATTATTTATAGATGTCAGTTTAATATGCAAAAAGAAACCCATTAAAAGATCAAATCTTTAAATTTCTGCGCAGTACCGACACCAGTTTGACATTTTATTCCGAACAGATTAGTTTTCAAGCTATTGCAATCACAAATGTATCTCCATTTATTTAAAATTCTCGATAAAAATCATACACATCTTTTAAAGAGGCAAATACAAACAAAGTAAGGACAATGATAGATGGCGACATTCAATGTAAACTGAGTGTAAAAAAAACCCTCACCGAGTAGACGTCACTTTAAAATAATTTCAACTGTCCGGATAGATAGTTTCGACAGCTTTTCTTATCAAAAATATGATGTAGTCTTGAGAGTTAATTAGAAACATTAGTCCCCTGATCATTGCTTGCTCAATTATTTCTACTTTACATATTTCCCATCGAAGAAATGACCTACCTGGATAACCAGATAGTTTTGTTTTTATAAATGGGGATAATATGGTACAGTCATACCAAAGATAAAATATAGTATTTTCAATTTATGGAAACATGTTTGTTTTTGTTTTTCCATTTCGGACATAAAATTGCTCCTAACCTGAAACGAGACGACTTTACAAAAATACTCCTTCCTGGTCCGTGTAAATTAAATAAATTTAATTTAGAAAGTTTATTAGTATTTTTAATATCGAAGTGTCAAATGGTGCAAAGTGTTAACGTGTAAAAATATCGTACGGATATAATTATGGTTAATATAGCATGAAAATATGGTTAAATGTTGCTGTGTGTGTGTGCGCGCGCGCGTGCGTGCGTTTGTGTGTGTGATTTAGATTTTTGACCTAGATTTTTAAAAAATTTCAGTCGTATCGCTACGATGTATGCAGTGTGATAGGTTATAATGATGTCTAGTACTGGGGCATCATGCCGAAGACAGGTAGCATTATGTCCCCTCCCCCGCCCGTAGTATTATCGTGGCACCAGGCCGATCAGTTTTAATGCTGAGCACCTAGCGAGACAGCTTCTAGTACCAATTTTTAAAACCTTTGGTGTGACTAGGCCGGGGTTCAAACCCGCGACCTTCCGCTTTTGAGGCTAACGCTCTAAACACTAGGCCACGATCATTACTGTCTTCATGTGAATCAACCATATATTGATCACGAATCCTTTCCTTGAGGTTTGCTTCCGCCATTTTCTTTGTTGCCAGTCCGCAATGGTGTTTACTGGTGTGTTGGCATCGTTGCCTGTGACCTACAACATTAAGTTAATATCTCGAATATAAAATAATATACAAGTTAAAATCTCGAATATAAAAAACATACAAGTTTGTATCTTGACTATTAAATAACATACAAGTTTACATCTCGACTAAAAATGTTTACAATTTAATATCTCGAATATAAAATAACATACAAGTTTGTATCTCGAATATGAAATAACATACAAATTTATATCTCGAATATCAAATAACATACACGTCAATATATCGACCATAAAATAAAAAAAAGTTATAAGATATAACTCACATAAAACACAGAGCTATAACAACAAACCTGAAAACAAATTAAACAAAGTTAATAATTGAACTGACAACTACAGAATGTATCCAAATCAGAACGATCAAAATCAAGGACATTCGTTCTACCCTCTCTCCCTCAGAGACGCAAACACAATTTGCAGTTTTACAATATATGTGTAATTGATTTGGTTTCAAATATCATTGTCACCGATATATTTATGTCCAATGTCATATACATATTTCCAGTGAAGAAATAAATCTATCTATTACAGGCTAAACCGTCTGAACCACATTCAATATATCTCAATTCAATAAACAACGGTCCTGAAAAATCCTATTTGACAATACTTTTAGTCTGAACGAGAAGATTCAATACGCAAAGACCTCAGTAAGTCAATAAAAGAACCATTAATGGTGGGATAATATATCCCTCATTTGAATGAATAATATGTATACAGAAAATGCAACGAACCACTGAACGGCTATTGATACCAAAATAAGTCGCAATTAGGAACTAAACAACTTCTTCAAGGAGTGCTATATAATAAACATCTAGATAAACGTGTCACTGATATAAAGACAGTAAGAAGATGGTAAGTACATACAAGTAAACACATGGCTCTTTTTGTACATTATTAAGTTTTAGATATAAAAACGTATCGTATTTGATTAAGGCATATTAACAGTTGACTGTATAAACTGATTTTACAGTAAAAATATTGTTGTATGATAATGTATAGACTTTAAAATCTACAATATAATCATTCAAACTGCATCGATGAGTATTGGTTAGAATTTGACATTTGTTTTTTAACTTAAATTTTGATAACCATCTTATAGATGCGATAGTGGAATATGTAAATTTAGTTGTGTTCATATATACGTAACTGACATTTCTATTGTTGGTACAACATAATTAGAAGATACATGTTTTCGCAATATTGCTTTCATATTCCAAGGAATACTCAAAGACCCTTTTAGACAACTTTGAAAATCAATCAAGATATAATTTTCTTCCTTACAACACCCTTCATTTTCATTACGACATCAGTACATATCTATGGTCAATTGGATCACGCTGAGACATTTCCGTCAATGAGCAGAAACCCCCCACATTGTAAATACTACAGCTGCCGCCATTTTGTTATATACTTAGTTGTGATATAAAGGCATTTTCCATATTTCTTAATCCCTGTATTTTCACATGTGAAAAATATATCCTTATGTTATCACCGCTGAGAATATAAGTATTTCCACTAAGCCATGTAACGATTGAGCGTGTGTGCCTATAGCATTGATTGTTACAGCAAGAGAAAAAAGAGTATTTTGTGAACTTGGGAAGTTGTATTACATTTCAGTAATATAATTTTTGTGTTTGATGAAGATATTTTACTTGCCAAGGTTTGCTTCTTTACGACGTTATGTCCCTTAAACAACTTGAAATCAAATCTAACTAGTCCATTGTACTGCATACCTCGGTAAGACAACTTTTTTACCTGTCTGATGGGTGAACACATTTTAGATAAATAAAATATTCATTTATTAGGTCATCCAATACTTTCGGGTTATGATCAGCGAACCTGTATGATTGAAAATGAGTCCTTAAGTTAAATACATTCTTGGCTCAAATATTTCTTAGTTTTTTTTTTCTTCAAGTATCATACCTTCTATATGGAACAATAAAAGAAACAGGGTTAGTTACTTTGAAGCACGTCATTCCACACACCTGATCCTCAATCTCTGTCAGCTATTTTTGTCCATGAAGGAACTCAGCCACAATATGCGCCTTATTTTGCTCCTGATATAATTTTTCTTATTCATAAAAAACACAGCTTAAATTATGGGATGGATCCAATTAACTTTACAGGCCACCAGACCCAAGACTTGTGCGAATGTTTACCCAGTCTGACAAAGTTACAAACAAATAAATGAGTTTACTAAAGTTTATTTTTGTAGTTACTAAAAATGTAAGTAGCAGCTTGCGAGTCAGTCACCTTTCGCCGTTGACTCGTGTGCAGCAAAGGCAAAAAGTAGAACTTTTCCGCGGTTTTGCTGGGGTTTTTTTGTGGGCGGAAGGGACCGAGAAATACCGACAAAAAGACAATATTCGTAAGATTGTTGTACGATGAAGTAACCCGTATATTTCGATAATTGCAGGCTGATTTCACAGATGAGCAAATAGAAGGTAAGGAAATGTATTGATGGGATATAAAGTAGTTTACATCACAATTCTTCGTATAATATCCTAAGATGTATGTATGTATGTATGTATGTATGTATGTATGTATGTATGTATGTATGTATGTATGTATGTATGTATGTATGTATGTATGTATGTATGTATGTATGTATGTATGTATGTATGTATGTATGTATGTATGTATGTATGTATGTATGTATGTATGTATGTATGTATGTATGTATGTATGTGTGTGCGCGTGCGTGCGTGCGTGCGTGCATGCATGCATGTATGTATGTATGTATGTATGTATGTATGTATGTATGTATGTATGTATGTATGTATGTATGTATGTATGTATGTATGTATGTATGTATGTATGTATATATGTATGTATGTATGTATGTATGTATGTATGTATGTATGTATGTATGTATGTATGTATGTATGTATGTATGTATGTATGTGTGTGTATCTTCAAATTAAGGGTTTGTATATTTGTAAATAATGAGATGATAATTTGGGGATATTATCAAGGAGACGAGAATATATAAAGAAGTGTCTCAAAGCAAACTATACAAAGCCCCGCCCTTTCCCAACCATAGCGAGCAAGTTTATAGTGTGGACATAGATACTGCGAGTTTACACAAGTATAAGTGACTTTTTCTCTTTTGCTATTTGTATTTTTGGTACACTTATTACTTACATGAACGAAAAAAATGGCTCACGTTGTGCTAATAAAAATCTGTAATACATTTTTTTTCTGAAACAGAATTCAAGGAAACATTCGGTCTGTTTGATAAAGATGATATCGGTTCCATTCCTTCAAAAGAACTGGGTAATGTGCTGCGAGCACTCGGACAAAGCCCAACAGAAGCTGAAGTAGAGGAAATGACCAACCGCATAGATACAGAAGGTAACAGCAAAACAGCGGGACTGACTCAGATATTTATGCTACACAACCACTCCCAGAAAAACTGCCACAAATAGATCGTTTTTTTAAAATTGCTTAATGAGAGTTATATTCATACATGTCACTGCTTAAAGCTAAGTCGTTGAGTATGCTCTGCGCGAAATCAGATGAAAATAATTTTTCCATAAAGCAAACTTTTACTTTGTAACATATCTTGTATTCTTAATTAGTTATAGTGAATTTATTAAACAACCAAGTATTATAGATGTTACATGATATTCAGCGACAAAAATAAAACTGAAAGTGAAAATATTTTTAAAAAAGAGTCATAGCGAATCTATAGGGTGTTTATGACATTCCAAACCGTAAAAACACGCATAATTTATGCAGATTTACATAGTTTTTGAAAGCTGAATTGCTATATTTGATGACGATACAGGCAGAAATACAATATTGGCAACTTTTGATTCATCTGCATATAGAACACAAAACTTATACAATTTTTTGCATTAATATATTAATAAATACCATAACTTCCATTTAAAGGGTTCTTATGAAACAATTATGCTACCATGCTACCACTTTTTCCATGTAAACGAAAACCATTAGCGACGGAATACAACCTTAGTTGGACCATTTTTCTTGAACTGAGTGCCCAGCTTTCTGGGTCCTTTAGTTGCCAATTGTTGAAGCATACATGGAAAACCAGTCGAGTAATATCGTAGCCCATTTGTGCCATCTTACGACGGTCAATTCACAACATCCTATGTCTTTGAATAAATATATAAACACATTAATTGTACATTTATTGTCCATTTGAATCATATGGAATTAAACAAATAAAGTGTGGCTGAGTCCTAACTCTTTGCAGTGTTGTTTAGATTGGTTATTCAGAGAGGTCTGAGATGTGGTGATTTTTGTTACCTTTGGAAATTGCCGAAAATAACGTGAATATATAGGATTTGTGTATATTAATCCATTATTGTCAAATGGATATCTACTTTTTACGCTCGCAGAAAGGTACATAATCTTTTAGATTGACAACAGGTAAGAGGGATAGAGGGCAATCAATTGTCCATATGTTTCTTTCTTATACTTTGGATATTTTACAGGTACTTTATGATAATAAACAAACTAAAAGCATTATTAAATGTAAATATGTGATTATTAAAGCACATTCTCAGTGACAGCTTGTTCGTTATCATGCTCTTTACGAACGTTGGTTTTGCAAAGAAGAAAAACAACTTTGCATTGTTTACAGAAATACCCGCAAATGACCATGAAATGGACAATAAAAAATTGACTAAAATTATTGAATTGTTTACCTAATATCCGAAATTATACTTTGAAAATAGTAACCAGATGATGATGTTAAATTATTACACACATACAAACACATACGCACGCCTACATACACTATCTATCTATCTATCTATCTATCTATCTATTTATCTATCTATCTATCTATCTATCTATCTATCTATCTATCTATCTATCTATCTATCTATCTATCT